TATCCAAAAATTTGGTCAGAAGAAAAGCTACAAAATATATAAAATGTCAATTTTCAAATTCTCAAGAAATATCTCAATGGGAAACTCAATAATAACAAAAATAAACTTATTGGGGGGAGAGAATCCAATAACCAACAAAGGTTGTAATACTGCATTCTGGGACATAACTCTGCTGAGTCATATGCTCATAAAATAATTAGACGGCTTTACTTGCATTTCAATTTTCTTCCCTTTTAAGAAACTCCAGTAAGGGATGGGGTTGTAGCTCAGTGGTAGAGTGCTTGTCTTGCACATGTGAGGCACTGGGTTCGATCCGCAGCACCACATAAAAATAAATAAATAAACAAAAATAAAGATATTTTTAAAAAAGTAACTCCAGTAAATTTAGCATGAGAAAGACAAAAGATGCAGAAAAGTAAATTGAAGATTAAAATGAACTACTTTACACAAACCTGTGCAGCAATAAAAATGTGCCAACCTACAGATTATATAAAACAGAACATATACATAATTCCTTGCACTATTTAGTTGTAAATAGTAGAGTGCATGCAGTCTAAACTTTTATTATTACTTCCCTGTCTCCCATATATCCATGACCCCCCCCCAAAAAAAATCCACATACATTGTTACCAAAAAATAAAACGACAAAAGAGTAGCTGACCTAAACTTACTTTCAAATCAACATTATTTTAATTAGATTTTAAAGACAGAGACAGGATACTAAAAATAAAAGTGAAAATGCAAAAGCAGTAGGATAATTCAGGATGATTTTGGTACTGTGGATTTAACCCAGGGGCGTTTAAGCACTGAACTACATTCCCAGCCCTTTTTTGTTAAGTTGCTGAGGCTGGCCTGGAACTTGCCATTCTTCCACCTCAGCCACCCCAATCTATGGTATTACATTCCTGGGCCAGAGCGTCCAGCTGAAATACTTATTTAGAAGCTGCATTTAAATTCAGAATGCTTAATTTGATTTTGTCAAAGTGAAAAAAAAAAAAAGACTGGATAGAAAAAAGGTGTAACTGTCAGAAAGGAGAATAAAAACTTTAAAACTCAAGATGGTAACAAGCGGCAGTGGAGCACAATTGTAAATCCAGCAACTCTGGGGCTGAGGCAGGAGGATGGAAAGTTCAAGGCCAGTCTCAGCAACTTAGTGAGACCCTATCTCAAAAATACTTTTTTTTTTTTTAAGGGCTGCAGATGTTGGTCAGCAGTAGAGCACCCCTGGGTTTAATCCCCATTACGGGGAAAAAAGAAAAAAAAATTTGCAAAAAAGAGACCATGGAGATGATTAGATAATCAAAGGGTAAAAATATTATTCCCAATACTCTTCTTAGCTAAGGAAAAGAAATTGCGAGAAGGCAGGGAAAAAAATCAAAGACAAAGAACACAGCTCCAAAATCTCCAAAACTTGAAAATATAAAAAAAAAACCCTTAATAATAAATTAAAAATTTCAATAGCAATTACTTCTGTATCTACAACTTGGCTGACTTCTTCTGTGTGGTGAAATTTAAATAACATAAATTCACCATTTTATTCTTTAAGTGTATAATCAATGGCATTAAGTACATTAACATTATCCAATCATCACCATTATCCATCATCAAAATTTTCTCATCTTCCCAAATTAAGGTATTAAATAACTCCCCATTTCCTTAGCTGACTTCTTAAATGCCTTTTTTTCCTCCCTCTTCTGGCAAGAGAAGTATCTAAAAGGCAGAACAATTTCTTTTAATTCTGAACATCCACAATTTTTTTAATATTTATTTTTTAGTTGTAGTTGGACACAACACCTTTATTTCACTTATTTTTTTTTTTTTATGTGGTGCTGAGGCTCGAACCCAGGGTCTCCCACGTGTGAGGCAAGCGCTCTACTGAGCCACAATCCCAGCTCCACATCCACAATATTCATACAGTATGTTCCCATGCTCAAAAAATTTCAGACTCTGGAACTGGGGTTGTGGCTGAGTGGTAGCGTGCTTGTCTAGCACCACATATAAATAAATGAATAAAATAAAGGTCCATCAACATCTAAATAATTTTTTTAAGTTACATTGTTAAAAAAAAAAAACTTCAGGGCTGGGGATGTGGCTCAAGCAGTAGAGTGCTCGCCTGGCATGTGCAGGGCACTGGGTTCGATCCTATCAGCACCACATAAAATAAAAAAAGATGTTGTGTCCACTGAAAAGTGAAAAATAAATATTAAAAAAATTCTCTCTCTCTTAAAAAAACAACTTCAGACTCAGTTGAACATTATTCCTAGATATATCTAATCTTTCTTTTAATATATATTAATTGAAGGATAACTGCTTGCCAAGCACTATGCTAAACCCGGGGATCCAAAGAAAGAACTTATGACCAGGCGTAAAAGGGTCAAAGTTAAAAGAACAACTATGCTGATAATGAAGAGATTAAGATAGTGAATAATGGTGGAGAGGGATAACTTCAAAAAATGTCTGGGAAAGGCCTTTTCGGGAGGTGACATCTAAAATGAGACTTGGAATTGAAAAAATATATTGATATTTGATTCATCCTTCCATCTCCTAAAGCATCCCCAGCATTTGCTTTTCATTTAGCAGGTACCCGATAATAGCTCTCCTTAATTCGCAAGATTCCTTCCAAACACAAAATGTTTGAGGACAGAAAACTACCTGTCAATGAAATCCGTGTGGGGCTGGGAACTACAGATGGAAAAATTGAGTTCAAAATTAGTACAAGACCCTAAACTCTAAAGCAGAGTGTACCGAAACCACCTAACTGCTACCTTGAAATGACTTGCATTTCAGTCAACATATAGCAGAAACTGTTCACTCACTCAGCCTAAAGAAATGACACATAAAGCAGACACAAGAGTGGTTAAGACTATTCAAGACTACATTAGAATGCTCAATTCTCGTTTCTCCAAAGGCGAGAAAACGAGAAGGTCCCCCGTTCTCTTCTGCCAGAGCAACCGAAAAAGCAGGAAAGAATCGTGTTTCTCCTGTGGTTCAGTCCCGAAAAGAGGTCAGCCACCAACCCCGGCTAGGGCTCCATCCCTGCTCGATTAGAATAGAGGAGACACTTCAATGGGGCGCTCCGAGGAGAAAACTATAGGAAAGCACTTCCTTTCCCCCAATTGTATCCTCTCTTCGACTTCAGTCTCACTCCAACAGGATTAAGGGAGGGCCAGGGCTATCCCGGTCCTTTTGCCTAAAACCGGTCCCTAACTGATGCCTTCCTCCACCCGCCAGGATATATGGAGACGCTGCGAAGAACCGGCGAGCTGGAGACAGGAACGCATCCCAGGAAAATGAAGTGAAAGACACATGAGAGGATCCCAATAAAAAATTGTAAGTGCGAGGGGAAGGTGGATAGTAGAAGTTCCCAGAGAAGCAAAGAAAGAGGTTGCAGGCCAAGGATCTCCAAGCCGGCTCCAAGCCGGCTCTTACCGTCTGTGGGAGACGCCATCTTCCGACCCATGTCACGTGACGTGGCCAACCGTCGGCGGGAAAGCTAGGATTCATAAGCCACGCCCCCAAAGAGACACCCAATCCCCAACTTGTAGCGAATCTCATAAACCCCCCATAGGGCAATATTTGCCTATCCCCGCCCTCCCGGTTATAGTCACGCCCCTCGTGGTCGTGTTAAAGTGACAGCAAAATTCTTGGAGGGTCTATTTACTTTCCTTAGTGAGGGGGTGGGACCTGGATCATGCCCGTAGCCAATCGTGACTCCCGATTAGGGGGCGTCTTCCCCGCGTGCTCAGTATAGAGTACCCAAGTCAGGGGTGACTCCCTATCTTCACCAATAGAATTGGCTGAGGTGGGAGGAGGCGAGAGCCATTCTCTTTCTGACCAATCATATTCCCACAGGACTGGAAGTGAGAGGTGGAGTCAGGTGTTCCGGTGAGTGATTGGCTGGAGGAAGCGGTCTTGTCTTCCAATGGAGAGGTTTGGCAGGCTGGAGGGCGAGGCCTGGCCGCGGTACTGCCTGGTAGGCAAAGGCCGCAGAGGCTGGGGAAGCGGAGGAGAGACAGCTCAGAGCCATGGCGGCGGTGGTGGCGGCGGCGACAGTGCGGTCCCGGATCCTGCAGGCGAGTGAGGGTGGCACCGAGGGACCACGAAGCTAGGAATGGATCCTTTCCACCCACTCTCTGAGCAATGCTCCGGCGGGACAGACTTTTGGCCCAGCCCCTTCTTGGCGGACCCTTGTGTTCCCACCCCACTGTGCAGCCCTGTCCCACTCTCTCACTTCGTATTTTCCCTCACCCTGGAATGAGCCCTGCATTATCACCCCTGGCCCTCCACCCTTTCCTCCTGAGCCTCCTTTTCTGGCTCTAGCCCACTGTCCTCCAGTCTTGCTGTGTCCCTGCTGTCGCTCGCTTGCTCTTACCTCTCAGTCCGCCCACAGTTTTCCTTTTCACCTCTGCACCAGCCACCTCTCTCCCTAGAAATGCCCTTTTCTGGTCACCTCACTTAGAGCTCTTTCCCTGCCAGGAACGTCCAAATTGCTCCTTTCTCTCGACTTCTCTGTCCATAATCTAAGGTAAGGGGGGAGGGAGTACGCGAGGGGTCAGAAAATGAACTTTGAATCTCCTAGAAATGTACGCTGGGTTTTCACCCAAGGCAGCCATTTGCTAACAGTTCTCCCCAACTGTTATAACTCTGTATTTTCCACAAGCTCTGTGCTTTCTTGCCAAGACTTTTAGTTAAACTGTTTCTTGCAAAGTTAACGGTTTCTTGTTGGAGGTAAAGGGCTCATTGTTATGTTACTATGTTCCACATATATTCAAACGATTAAACATTTCCAGAACGAGAGCAAGCAGGACAAGAAGTTCAAAGTTTTTGCCACAAAGTCAGCTTCTTCAACACATTCTCAACTCTGCCCGTGGGGGTCGGGTGGTCTCTGGAGCCAGCTTAAAGAGAGGTTATAAAGTTAAAGAAGCTGCAGGTCTGAAGCCTGTGATCCCCAGCTTTGTTCATAGCCTTTCCCCTGTTCTAAGCCTAGAAAGGACTTAAAATATGAGGCAAGTGTTGCTTCAGGGAAGACTTTCAAACCTACAAGGAACAACATTGCCTTCCTATTAATTACATCCAACCTGGTAACAACTTCTATGTTGTTTTACTTTTAGGTAATATTAGTATTTGTCAGTTTTTGGTGAGTTCTATTGCAGAAACATATTCATTTTCAAAATTCTTAGCAGAGCCAGCAAAGGTTGATGTTTGAGAATGCGCTAAAGGGGTTGGTCTGGCTTCACTCATATTTCTTGCCGTGATTCTAGTTCTATTCTCTTTTTTAATAGCAAGGAAACTATATTTTCCACCTTCTTGAAATCTTCTACTGAAATTGGCTTTTTCCTTCAATTCTACTGTCATCAAAATGAATCACTGAAAAAAAGTGAATCATTGAGAATATTCAGAAGGTATTTTGTCCTTTGCTTCAATGAGGAAAACCTCTTCCTGTGCACTTTATTTAAAAATATTAGACACTATTTTTTTTACTCATTGGAAGAAATCTATGAACTAACCTCGAAGAGACCAGAAATAATAACCCTTACCAACTAGAAGTTACTGTAACATGAAAATTTGATAAAGTGTAGTCTAAATCTGATGAGAGTGGTACTCATCTGTAGTCCCAGTTACTGAGGAGGTTGAGGCAGAAGCATCATTAGTTCAAAGCCAGGCTGGGCAACTTAGACACTATCTCAAAATATAAAGCACTCCTGCACTTGCATGAGGCCATGGTTTCCATCCCCAGGACCACACCCAAAAAAAGTAGTCTAAATCCAGGAATATAAAGACGACTATCAAAAGGATTTGTAGATGTGAGGGTTCATGTTTTTAGTTATTTTGTGTATTTAGCTTATCTTCTCTGTTATCAAGGCTAGTAAAACTGAATCAAGAACATTTTTCTCTTTCTTATGATATTCTCACTCCGATTCAGAAAACCAATCTTAAAGACTCAGTGACTTGCCTCAGTAATGTTGTACAAAAAGCACAAGCTTCACAATCACATTTGGCTTCTATCCCAGCTCCACAAGTTTCTAGCTTTAAGAATATTTATGAAGATTAGAATTAATAAACATAACTAAGTAAATTATTTGACATTTAATGTCACCCAGTTAATAACTGATAGAGCTGGGAATTCAGGATTTAAATATTGCAACTTTTTCCGTGTGGGTACTTTCCCAGACTTTCAGTAAAAGACTCACTGAAATGTCCTCTAATGTAATGTGATGATAAGTGATGAACAATAGGCATGCTCAAGGTATTGCAGGGACATAAGGGAAAAGCCCCAAACTCAACCTGTACAATTCAGAGACAGTTTCCAAAAGGGTTTTACTCTGAGTAAAATGTTGCAAGACTAATAGGTCATTAGCCAAGAGGAGAAGAGAGTTCCTTATAAAGAAAATAGCAGGTAGAAAATGTGTATATAGACAGTAGAAGTTTGGTGAGTTGTCATAGGATAATTTCTTCAGCAGTGTTGCTAATGAATGTTTCTTAGGAAATGAAGCAAAGATATCAGATCTAACACAACCATTGTAATTCTGCACCATGTACAACCAGAAGAATAAGAAGTTATATGTCACTAAAAAATACAAAAACATAGCCAGGTGCAGTGGTGCATGCCTGTAATCCCAGCTGCTTGGGAAGGATCTTGAGCTCAAATAGAGAGACAACTCAGTGAGACCCTGTCTCTAAATAAAATACAAAATAGGGCTGGGGATGTGGTTCAGTGGTCAAGTGCCCCAGAGTTCAATCCTCAGTACCAAAAAAAAAAAAAAAAAAAGCCAGGCATGTTAGTACACACCTGTAATCCCAGTGGTGGCTCTGGAGGCTGAGATAAGAGGACCAAAAGTTCAAGACCAACCAACCTCAGCAAATTAGTGAAGCCTTAAACAACTGAGTGAAACCCTGTCTCAAAATAAAAAATAAAAAGAGCTGGAGATATAGCTCAGTTGTAAATTGTTCCCAGTAATGGTGCATACCTGTAATCTCAGCTACTTAAGAGGCTGAGTCAGGAAGATCATGAGTTCAAAGCCACCCTGGGAAATTTATCCAGATACTGTCTCAAAATAAAAAAATAAAATAAGAAGGGCTGGAGATGTAGCTAGGTTGGAGAACTCCCCTGAGTTTGATTCCCCAGTACCACAGAAACAACAATAAAACTACACTAGGAGGGAAAAAATAACCCATATGATAATGTTCTGTTATATCAGATACAGTATCTATTATTCCCCTTTACGGGAGAGAGGTTGTGTATAAGTGAAAACATAAAATTTAAATGGCCTAAAACACCCAAGTTGGCTGCTAAGTGCATTTGAAAGAGCACATGTAGCAAAATAAGTATCAAAATATTGCTTGGTAAGTATTCATTCTGCATTTTTTTTCTGATGCTGGGGATTGAACCCAGAGTCTTGCAACACAATAGGCAAGCACTCTACCACTTAGCTACACCCCCAGGTCGTCTTTAATATAAATTTTATTTTGAGACATCTTCTTATTAAGTTGCCCAGGCTGGTCTTGAACTTGCTATCCTCCTGCCTCAGCCTCCCAAGTAGCTAGAGAGTACATACTACAAAGCCTGGCTCATTAGATTATTTTATGGCCATTTTATTTCAATAAGGCTGTTTTTAAAATGCCACAGGCACCTTATGGGAAGAAATATGTCCTATCATTAATATTAATGAGTACTTACTGTATTCCAGGAACCATGCTATGGGCTGAGGGCACAATGATCAGGTGATCTAAGGGGAGAGGAACTTAATAACTAAACAAGCTTGTATCCATAAAGCAAACGGAGAAACTCCACAATCAGGTACTTAGCCCAGACCTGACGTTGAGGATTCCTAGACAAATGTTAACCAAGTAGAAACCTAAAATAGTAAGAGTGAACCAAGCAAAAGGAATGAAACAGAGCCAGCCAAGAGGGATTAGCATGTGCAAGGGCAAGAGTGCAAAACATACCCAGAATAACTGGAACAGAGAAAGTAAGGAGGAAAGAAGCAAGCTGAGAGACCTAGAGAAATAAAGATACTATGTAGAGTCTTCCAAGCAATATCAAGGAGATGAGTCTTTATCCCAAGAGCAGTGGAAAGCCATTTGGAGGGTTTGTTTAAATCAATTTCCACAACATGTATGTGTGTGTGTATGTATATGTGTATATGTATGTATGTATGTGTGTATATACATATATATGTATACTTTTTTTAGAATAACATGTTATTCTAAAAAATAACATATACACATAATGTATATGTGTATATGTATGTATATATGTGTATATATACATATATATGTATACTTTTTTAGAATTACAGTTTAAGCTGACATTGTTGTAACTGACCCTCCCTCCTCCATTCACTGATTTTGCCCTATCAAATATTACTGATAGGACATATTTCTTCCCATAAGGTGTCTGTGGCATTTTTTTTAGAATATTTTTTTAAAGAGAGAGTGAGAGAGAATTTTAATATTTATTATTTATTGGCAGACACAACGTCTTTGTTTGCATGTGGTGCTGAGAATCGAACCCGGGCCGCACGCATGCCAGACGAGCGCGCTACCGCTTGAGCCACATCCCCAGC